AAAAAAAAAAAAAAATCGAGCGAGACAGGCGGGTGGGGCGCGAGAGGAGCGGCTGCGAAATTTGCGTCTGAAATAGGAGAGCCCAACAGGGGTGCACGCCAGGGTTCGAATCTGCTGCGAGGATCAGCAGCAGCAGCAGCGGCAGCAGCGCGACCAAAACAAACCCAAAATCCAAGGCCCTAGCACGACACACACTGCTGCCGGGCCTGGCGAGTCGGCGCTGTGAATTGCGTCGGCCCAGCCGAATCAAACAAAAACACACACACACAAAAGAGGCAGAATTTCGAATGAGCGGATTCCCACCGTCTTGTTGCTCTCTCTCTCTTGCCTGGCCATCGAGCGGCTGCCGACCGACCGCATGGCTAAGGCAGACGCGCCGATTGTGATCGTGCAGCTGGTCTTGGGGCCAAGCCATTTTGTGACATCCCAGCCACCTTCTCTTGCGTCGTCGGGCCGACTGCATCAGGCTGCCTCGCCCTCGCCCTCGCCCATTTCGCTGCCCTTGTTGCTGCTGGTCGCTTGCCATGGCGCGGTGGAAATCGCCGGTGAGTGCGCGCGGCCTTCGCTTTTTGCTGCGCGCTTAGCATCGTCGATGCTCGGAACACCGCGTCCGCTCCAATGCACAACTGCAGCGGGGGATCCACGGCGCAGGCGACTACCTCCCTCTTGCATCCTACTTGACCAAACTTTGATCTGGAGCCCATCTCTTCATGTCGTACGCCTGGTCGACCTTTGAGCTCCACTCGGAACTGCTTTGGTGCTTTGCTGTGCGGATGCTTGCAATCGGTGCGAAGATCGGAACAACTGCTCAGGGTCCCAGTCGTTGCATTTTCAGAAGACGCGCGAACCAAGCAAAAAAGAAACAACCGAAAATCGACAGGAAAATGAGAACGTCGAAAAAAGATCGCAACTCGAGGCCGCCAGAGAGTCTTGGCTGACGTGGTTGTGCGCCGCTGATCGCCAAGTAAGCTCTGGGCGCTCCGTGTCGACAGCTGCCAGACTTGCCGGTCGATGGGGCCCGCACCGCCAAGCGATGCATGTGATGCAACTGCCAACAGCTTCCGCATACTCACTGCAGCTCTTGGCGACCGCCTTTAACGTGATTGTCACTCAAACCTCCGGGGGGCCAGCTTCCGGAGCGGGGTTTGGTTAAACTCCCGTCCTCGTGGCGCTGTGACAGATATCGGCATGCGCGCACACGGTGACAGAGATTGGTAGAACTCAATTGCCCATCTTCTCGACGCCCACAAACACTTGACCGGAAGATGATTAGAGGGTTGCTTTGAAAGCTGTATATGTTGGTGGGGATGGGCGACTATTTTCGAAGACAGCAGCGCCGATCGATCAGCGAAAGAGCTCGTCGACGTCCATCTCGTTGTCCACGCCCTGCGTCCCGGATCCGCTTCGCCCTGCCTTCTTTCGCGTCCACCTGCGCATCGCTCCTCCGTGCTTCTGCTTGGAGGCGTCCTTCCACATCTCAGCATCACCCTCTGTCTTCGGCGAGTCCGACGCTCGGTGGTCCGAAATTGCAACCGAACGACCCAGGTCGAGCGGAGGAAGATGCTCCGGCACACTGTGCGAGCGACTCGACTCGGCAGCCACGCCGCTCAGTCGGGCGCCGCTCGTCGGCGCTGGAGAACGCTCGGAGGGTGATGCATTGGCGTGAAGCAACGGCGAGCTTCGGAACACCTTGGCGATGGATTGTGACGACTTGGTGCGCTCCTTCCAGAACGACGGCCTCGACGGCGTCGACGGCGATGGCTCAGCCCGGCCCGTCACGGATTCAGGCACATGCGGCTGCTCATCCACGTCGAGCATCTCGATCATGCGGCTGCCGCTCTTGTTGATGCTGCTCGTGCTGTTGTTGCTCGAGTGCTGGCCAAGACGCTGGCCCGCAGCGCCCAGCTTCGACTTTTCGCGCCCTTCGATCCAGAACTCGCCTGCCTTGGAGTCGCTGCTCATCTCGCGCCGAGGTCCGCTGACAGGGCTCTCCTCTTCCACGATAGTCGTCGTACCTCGAGCACCATCGGCATGAGCATCGCTGGATCCCACGACGCGCAACTGGCCCTTGATCGCACCCGTGTATGTGTTGTAGGTTCCGTCGCTGTTGTATGTGCCCGTCGAGGCGTCGTTGGAACGCAGCGTGTCGGTGGCTGGCTCAGCGGTAAGCCGGGCAGCCGTGCTTCCAAAAGAAGCGGCGCGTGGGGCGTTGGCTACAGCGGCGGCATCCTGGAGGATCAGCGGGCTAGATGCTGGGATGGATGGCAGCCTTGGAGGCACCGTCGCATCCCCACCGTGACTCTGGGCGCCAGAGTACAACGACTGGTGGTCCGCACTCGCGATCTCGGATGCAGCAACTGAGCCGGGGATGGTGTTCAGATTCGACTGGTACCCGGGGAATCCAGCCGCTGGCGGCCTTCTGTGAGGGCTGCCACCGTCGGCGTGAAACTGAGGCGACGCCTCGGACAGCTGCGCCACTGCCGGGTGCATGGCAAGTGTGCTTCCGTGCGATCCTCTACGACTGCTCGCATCGCTCATGGATGCTGCACCAGAGCGCAATTCAGCACCATGGGGACCATGAGAGCCACTCTGGGAGGCGCTGCGAAGTCGTGCGGCTTCGCTCACAGCTGCGTAGTTGGCAGGCGCTGCACCCATCGGCAAGCTTGCCATGCCGGGAGCAGCTGCCAGAGCTCGCGCATCCATGCCGTGCGCGAGAGGGGATGCCGTGCTGGCGCTCGCGCCTGCATTGTGATAGGCAACCGCTGCCGATCCTGCAGCAATCGTCGATGCGGGTAGCGCCCGGGGGTCGACTCCGGGAGGCAGATGAGGCTCGTAGAAAGCGGTCCTGTGCACGTCGGGGTAGCCACCAGCGAAGGCAGACGGAGAATCGTAGCCACTCGGCGGCACAGCGCCACTCCAGGGCTGGCTGGGATGGCTGCTGTGAGAATGAGGGTAAGATGCGGACGAGCCCATGATGAAGCTTGGGGCGAGCGAGGTGGTCGATGGCCTCTGCATGTGCGCCGAGCGTGCGTCGGCCGTGAACGCACCGCCGGGCCCGTGGGAGCTGCTGTGAACCGAGCCGTCGGTTCCCAGCAGAGGCATTGCAGAGGCCTCGGTCATGACCATCGAGGGGTTGTAGGTGCCCGAGAGCGGTCGCAGGTGCGTGGTCGAGGGGTTGGGCGGCAGTCCGGCAATCACCGAAGGACCCTTTTCGTCGTCGTCATCGGGGAAGGGACTGGGCGTCTTTTTGGCCTTGGATCGCTTCCTCATGAAGCAAGCAAGCACAATGATGAAAGCAATGAGGGCAACGCCTCCTACCACACCGCCGGCAATGGCACCGACAGGAGTAGCCGAGCCAGAAGATGCTGAGGAAGGTGAAGAGGACGATGTGGCGCCTGCGCCCGAGGAACTGTTGGCGCCATCGGTGGCCGCAGAGGCTGAGGATTCCGGGTCGGACGACGACGTCGGGAGGCCTGTAATGTAAGGGGCATTTGTGGTTGCAATCGTCGAGGTGACGACGACGACGGACTGGCTCGCCGTCACTGTGACGGGTACGGTGACCACGGTCGTGGACATCTTGAAGGCGGCGCGAGGCTAAATAGCTGGAGGCCGAGATGTGTTGCTTCCAGCGTGCGGGGTCTGCGCTGCGGGATCTGCTGGTGAAGATGGCGAGCGAGCCCAGACGTTCCCTTTGCTACAGCTGCGACTAGCTTGACGGTAGGAGAGCTTCGACAAGAACCCACAAGAGCGGATCGCGAGATGCAGGGAGGGGTGCAGCTGTTTGGCCTTGACGTGAAGATGTAAGAAGCTGCCGTTCTGACGAATGGGATGGCAGCCTCTGTGGCGCGATGGTGGATGTGCGAGTCCAAGAGGGGGAGGAACTGGCGTGAAGCTGCTCGACGTTCCTGAGACTTGGGCGCGTGTGGAAAGCGGGGGGGCAGGAACGAGGCGCAGAACTCAAAGAAGAAGACCAGGGTGTTGGGTGGCACTCTTTGAACGCCGCTAGGTGCATGCTGATGCACAGCGGCAGTTTCGCACCTCGGCTGCGGCTCAGCATTCACAGCCGGATCACTGTGCCGTTGTTTGGATCAAAGTGTGTTCGAGCCGCCACGATCTCCGTCAATGAATGCCACGCCCACCGGGTCTGTGCTCGATATGACGCGCAATTGACAACGACAATGGTCTGGCTACGCCATGTCCTCGCCTTTGGGATTGCATCACAGCCTTCCGGCAAAGGGCTCCGCCGGAGGAGCAGGCGGCCTCGTGTGACGGGAAAGCAGCCGCAGCGCGACGTCTACAGTAGCGAGGGAAAATCGCCGCAAGTCCGACGAGGCGGCGGGAAGAGCGACCGAGACAGATCCACGCCGCTAAACGCCGCCGCTGGACGCCCTCACGCCAATCCCTTTGCGCCGTGCCCAGCTTGGGGTCGGCGCAGATCGCTGGCCATGCCGCCACAGAGACCTGCCTTCCTGTAGTGCTTTGTGAGCCGCACCCTCGAAGCAACGGCGATTAAAAAAAAGTCCCTTCCCCAGCATTTGCCCTTTCTTTCTTCCGCTGTTCTTGGCGAGCGGATGGCCAGCAGTGCGCGCGGCTCCTGGATTCCTAAAATTGGAACCCGGCTATGCGCAGGAACGGCAGCTACGCATCATCGAACACATGCGACCTTATGCACCTAGTTCCAGCTGGCAGCAGCGACCCGACCATCTTGACAGTGGCGTGCGTCGTCGAGCGAAGCCAGGTGCGCCAGACTGGTCGTTCTAAAAGGGAGCGAAGGCATCTGCTTGTTGGAGCCCAAACGTCTCCTGCCACTAGTGTAGCGTCTTGATGCGCTTTGGCTGGTGCGGTGCTCCGAGAGACAAGAAAAGAAAAGAAAAAAAGAGCCCAAAAAGACAAAGAATAAAAAAAGAAGAAAATCCAGCCATTTAAAAAAGGGATGGAAAAAAGCAGACTTCTTTGTAAGATCGCGGCGCGAACAATGGCGAAAAAGCAGCCCTCGAATCGGTTGATCGGGTGTGTTAGATCTCCAGATGGCTGTCGACCGATGCGCATGGATGTCGGTGAGCCCATTTGGACACGCGATGGCGCAATCGCTCAATCGTTGGATTTTCGGCCAAATTCGCCCCCGCGAGCTGTCAGCTTTGGCCCCACTGAGAGTTGCGAGAGTTGGGCAGCTGGCCACTGACTCAGAAGGCCAGGGAGGAGGCCGATTCTTCTCAACTCCCTTGTGCGAGGCGCGGACCGGACCCTGAGCGTAGCGCGACTTCTTCCGATCCACAAAGACTGTGCTCTGCTGCCCTATTTGCCTGCGATAGGACCTTCCGGGGCGAAGAAGAAAGATCGGTAGCAAGTGTCCCAGCAGCTCTTCTTCCGCTCACCATCCATCTCCTCCTCCCTTCTTGCGTGTTCACACTCAAGATGGCTGCCACTTCGTCGCAGTCGCTCTACCAGAGCGCTGCCATCTTCGCCGGTGGCCTCGCCATCGGCGCAGGCACCCTCGCGCTCTCGCGTGCTGCCTTCGCACCCGCTCACAAGCCCAACAAGTCCATCAAGCGCAAGGTCTCGGACGCCAAGCTGCGTTCCGCCCCGTCCGCGCCCGCTGCTGCTGCTGCTGCGGCTGCTGCTCCCACCCAGGCCAAGGCTGACACCACCCCGTCCACGGGTAATGGTCGCGTCGACCCTCCTGCCTCGCAGCAGCTCGACCAGGTCGACGCCAAGGGCGCTGGCCCCGCCGCCCCCGCCAAGGAGCAGCTCCCCGGCCACGTTGCTCCCAACGGCGTCGACGCTACCGCCGGTGGCCAGAAGCTCACCGGCCTCGTCAACGCCCAGCCCGTCAACGCTGCCGTTCCCGAGCCCGCTCCCGCCAACCGCGCCCAGCACCTCGATGCTCGCATGGACCTCGGCCTCGTCCAGGGCCCCACCGAAGCAGAGATCGCCGCCAAGCTCGCCGCCCAGTCCTGGCTGCTCGGCATCCCCAGCGCCACGCTCACCAGCACCGGCGCCATCGACTCCATCGCCTACGCCAACAGCACCGCCGTCTTCAGCTACGAGAGCGAGACCAACGGTGGCTTCGGCTCCTTCAGCGAGAACGAGGCCAAGCTGGCCGCCGAAAAGGGTTGGTTCAAGGGTCGCGCCTCGGTCTTCAAGATGCAGACCCGCTCCGGCGCCGGCAACGCCATCGTCGGCTACCTCAACGCCAAGGGCGGCTCCTCGTCCACCGAGCCTGCCAAGGTCGTCACCGCCCTCACCAACGCCGCCGGCTTCGCCGCCATGGCTCCCACCCTCGCCTCGTACAACGGCTCGGACAACGCCAAGCTCGTCCTCCAGGTCTCCGCCGCCAGCCACTCCACCGACGGCGCCGACGAGCTCTCGATCACCAACGACTACGCCTCCGTCCTCGCCGCTGCCGCCACGCTGGGCGACGCCTACGAGGTCGTCCTCTCCGCCACCCGCCAGGAGGCCGTCGACTTTGCCCAGTACGCCTACCAGTCGAACAAGAACGTCGTCCACGTCTTCGACGGTGCCTTTGCTGGTCGCGAGGTCGGCACCCTGGCCATGACCACCAAGGGCCAGAAGGTCGACGTCCCCGAGCCCTTCCTCTTCACCGGCTCGCCCAAGGCCAAGACTGTCCTCGTCGTCCCCAACGGCTCGCACAGCCAGGCCGCCCGTGCCGTCCTCGTCACCCTGCCTCCCGCCGTGCGCCACAACGTCGCCCTCCTCTCCGTTCGCACCCTCGCTTCCTGGGACGAGACCGACCTGCGCAAGGCCCTGCCCAAGTCCGTCGAGAGCCTCCACGTCCTCGAGCAGGTCCTTGGCGGCGCCGCCTCCGGCCAGCTCTACGACGACATCGTCTCGTCCGTCTTCGGCACCGAGTTCAGCGGTTCTGACGTGCCTTCCCACGTCTTCCCCGTCGCCCTCGCTGCTGGTCAGGATCTCACCGCCGCCGAGCTGCACAAGCTGCTCGAGACGCTTGGCGATGCCCACAAGGCTGCGCTCAAGGTGCAGGACGTGCTCGACGAGGCCGACGAGAGCCACGCCGACCTCCTCGCCCTCTCGGGCGCCTCGGTCGTCACCTTCTTCGACACCGAGACGAGCCCCACCGCTCCCCTCGCCCAGCTCACCGCGCGCGCCATCCGCGACCGCGGCGCCGACACCCAGCTCAACGCCCGTCTGCTCTCACGCTTCGACAACTTCGAGGCCTCGGGCATCGTCCGCTCCGACATCATCCTCTCGAGCCGTCCCGAGTCGGCTGCCGACGCCCCCATCGTCCTCGCCGCCGAGGAGAACGCCGCCAAGGTGCTCGTCGTCAGCGATCCGGCCACCACGCTCAAGAGCTACGCCCCCTTCCAGTCTCTGGTTCGCGGCGGGACCGTCATCTTCAACACGCCCGGTTGGGAGGTGGCCGAGCTCGACTCGAAGCTGCGTGCCGAGGACAAGCGCGTGCTCGCCCAGAAGAGCGCCCGACTCCTCCTCGTCGACGCTGCCGCCGTCGTCGAGAAGCTCAACGTGAAAACCGCCAACGCCAGCGGGGGCAAGGCCAAGGTCGGCGACAACGTCGTCCCCGCCGAGATCGCTGCGGCCGTCCTCCTGATCGCCGTGCTGCGTGTGCAGCTCAACACCTCGGGTGCCGCCCTCGCCGCTTTTCTCAAGCGCGTTCTTGGAACCGCTCCCGTCGGCATCGACGGCGTCGAGGGCCTTGTCTCGGCTGCCGAGAGCGCCATCCAGCTGCATGCCTTCAGCGACGACGAGTGGTCCAAGGCCCAGCCCATCTCCGAGGCCGAGGAGAACGCGCCTCTGCGTCCCACCCAGATCCGCTACAACGGCTTCGGCCCCAACCCCGAGGCAGCCACGGTGGGCACTGAGCTCGCCCCCGTGCGCACCACCTGGGCCCAGTCGGCCTGGCAGCACCTCTTCTCCGAGGCCTACGACACGGCCGCCGATGCCCTCCGCCCCGACCTGCCCGAGCAGACCTGGGTCGTCGAGGTCACCGAGAACCGCCGCCTCACTCCCGTCGACTACGACCGAAACGTCTTCCACATGGAGCTCAGCACCAAGGGCACCGACCTCAAGTACGAGGTGGGCGAGGCGCTCGGTGTGCACGGCTGGAACGACGCTGAGGAGGTCGCCGAATTCATCCGTTGGGCCGGCTTCGACGCCGACGAGATTGTCAACGCTCCCAGCCTCACCCAGGCGGGCAAGCACGAGGCTCGCACCGTCTTCCAGACGCTGCAGCAGAACCTCGACATCTTTGGCAAGCCGCCCAAGCGCTTCTACGAGGAGCTGGCCAAGCTGGCCACCAACCGCGACGAGGCTCGCTGGCTGCGCTTCATCAGCTCGGCCGAGGGCTCGTTCACGTTCAAGAAGCTCTCGGAGATCGAGACGCTGACGTACGCCGATGTGCTGCGCATGTTCCCCTCTGCGCGCCTGCCCATCGACCAGCTGCTCACGCTGGTGGAGCCCATCAAGCCGCGTCACTACTCGATCGCTTCGGCCCAGTCGGCTGTAGGCGAGTCGATTCACCTGCTCATTGTCACGGTGGATTGGAAGACGCCCAGCGGCAGCCCGCGCTTCGGCCAGTGCACGCGCTACCTGAGCGAGCTCAAGCCAGGTGCCAAGGTCACCGTGTCGCTCAAGCCGTCGGTGATGAAGCTGCCGCCCATTGACACGCAGCCCATCATCATGGCGGGTCTGGGTACCGGCGCGGCTCCCTTCCGCGCCTTCATCCAGGCTCGTGCGCACAAGAAGGCGCAGGGCATCGAGGTGGGACCGCTGGTGTACTACTTTGGCTCGCGTTACCGCTCGGCCGAGTACCTGTACGGCGAGGAGCTCGAGGCGTACACGCAGGACGGCGTCATCCAGCACATGGGTCTCGCCTTTTCGCGTGACACGTCCAAGAAGGTGTACATCCAGCACAAGATCCTCGAGGACGGCGACCTGCTCACGCAGTACCTGGGTCCCGAGATCGAGAAGCTCGAGGCTGCTGGTGGCAAGGCCGAGTTGGTGCTGCAGGACGGCCTGATCAACGACGAGGACATCGAGGATGGCAAGAAGGGCTACTTCTTCGTGTGCGGCCCCACGTGGCCCGTGCCCGACATCCACGAGGCTCTGGTGGGCGCCTTTGTCAAGAAGGGCCTCACCAAGGACCAGGCCGAGAAGAAGATGGAGGCGCTCAAGGAGGACGAGCGATACGTCCTCGAGGTGTACTAGTCGCGTCTCTTTTCTTGCTTTCCCCATCTGTTTTATGATGTCTCGATGATTCGGAATGACCAAGTCTATGATCCTGATTCTGTGAGCACGATTGAGTTGCTTGGGTATAGATGGGCTGAGAGAAAGGCTGTTGTGAGAGGCCACATGCGACAGGCTAGCCCCATGCGGCGGTGGTGCTGTAGTTGACTATAAGGTGGTTTTCCGTGCCGAAGCACTGGTGAATCCACGTCAATATGCATGAAAATTGTCAGCTGGAGGTCGCAGAGCTGGGATGGAGGCGATGCTGCTCACCCTGTATAGATTGCCGACGGTGTCGTCGGGTGCAGGGCTAAACGAGGCGTTGATGTACAAGAACTGCGCGTCGACATCCAAGGGCGAGACTGGCGGTTAGCAAGGGGCAAGGCAGTGAGAAGGCTGGTGAGAGCCGGCGACATACGAGAGAGTCGGTGGGCTTAAAGTTGAGCTCCTTGCGGAGGAACTGGATGACTGCTTGGAAGCGGTTGAATGCGGTGATGCGAAAGTAGTTGGTCTGCCATGCAAAAGGGTCGCAAACACGATGAGAGACTGGTTCGGGGCAGGTGGCATAGAGGAAGGAGGGACGTACCTTCATGATGGGAGCGTTGCCGATCGCCTTGAAGCGCACGACGACTTTGGACGAGTCCTTCTTCTTGTACTGCTCGAGCGCCTGCAATGCGGCGGCAGAAGGACTTGCTCCTGCATATGATATTGTGGCAGCCGAGCCGAGCTGTCTGTCGTGCTCTGCATTGTCCAAAGCGAGTCGATGGCCAAGCATGTCAGTATACTCAGTAGCATGCGGGGGAGGCGGGTGCGAGAACAACGTACCTTGGCTCGGCGTTTGGGAGCCTGTCGCAGCCATGGTCCCCGATTCCTCGCTGGCTGGATCTGGCTGTAGCTATCAGATCGACTCGGATGGGATGGTGTCGAGGGGATCGAGTGACACTTTCACGGCTGCGCCCGTTCAGGGTCCAATCGACACGACATGCATGGCTGCGTGCGAGTGTTGATCTGAGCGTCGTTGGCGGGGCCGAGGGCCGGGGATGAAGATTACATAAGGCTGCCTAAGTCGGAATCAATTCATAAAACAAAATCGACGTGATCAGTCCTCGGCCGAGGTCAGGACTCTACACGTGACTGATTTTCGACTGCCACTAGCCCGACACGCTGACATTCGGCAGTGCGGTGCCGCATTGAATGGCGAGCTAGATGCCTGGCTGAGGAGTGCCGGTCTGCAGTGCCACCCGGCTGGATGGACTGGCGTGGCGAAGGCAAATTCGACACTCACCTTCGAGCTCGAAACTTTGTCCAAAGAGCGGTGTGCAAGCCTGCCAAAATTCAGCGCCTGCAGACAGGCAGAGATACCGAGTCCTCACGCCGAACCCATTTCGAGGTTTGGGTCGACTAAACTCTGTGGGCCAAGCCAGGGAGAGCCTTCTGAGCGCCGAGAGTCTCGACGTCCGCCAATACGCCGCTCCAATCTTCTCGTCACCATCACCATCTCCACCCATCCCCTCTCCGTCAAGAACAATGTCGGCTCAGATTCGCACGTACGTATCCACCGCAGGTGCGATCAACGGCATGGCACATCGAAGCACGCGCAGTTCCCAGCACAGCATTGGCAGCAGCAGCATTCCAACTATCATCGACAGCATACACCGACAGTAGACCATCGAGCTACACACTTCTATCATCGACACGACACAAACACATCCAATCAGCACGCCATCAGAGCTATCGACTTTCGCACCGCCATCATCGCTCAGAGTGGCCACCTGGAACGTGAAAGTGACACAAGTGCAGGTCGCATAGCAGACATGGCTTTATGGGAGCTTGGACAGACGCATCGTGCAAACATGTTTCGACTGTAGACGTCGTCCCTCGCACCAGAGTGGATGGTGTAGATGCATCCTGGCGTCGGCCTTGCCACGTGCTGCACTGGTGAACCGAAGGCATGGACGACCCGCTCCAACAATATCGACCCCCAGAGCACACGTCTTGATAGCGAGGCAATCGTGTCCATCGCATCCTCGCTTTAGCACGAGCGATCTCACTCGCTCTCGTTCGGCTCATCACTTCGGTCTGGGACATGACACAACTTCTACTCCAATTCCTTCCTACTGCACTGCGACATCGACATTGCTGCTGCTGCCAACGTGCTCTTCTGCGACGCGACTTTCTTCGTGCTGTCATGCTGTTTCGCACCAGACTCATCAATCGACGCCTCCGGAACATCCAACTGACCTTTCATTCGCACTCCCGTTGCACTCGATCGCATCTCTACAGCACCGTCCCCTCGGCTCACGACGTCCTCGTCCCCGAGACTCTCCTCAAGAAGAGGAAGTCGGACGCCAAGGCCCGTGAGGAGAAGGCCGCCAAGGCCGCCGAGACCAAGAAGGTAAGCATCTCATTGTAACGCCACACAATGCATCCACGCTCGCAGGTTCCAACAACAACGACATGGAGGATCAGGATTCGGCAGGGAGGATCCAGTGGCCAAGACGAGTCAACTCAGTGATGCATAAACAACCACCATTCGGGCTAGTCTAAGGACAATGTTGCCGAATTATACCATCTTTCGGGGCTGAGGGTTGCCTCGCGATCAACTGCCGTTTGCAGATTATCGCAAAGGATTGTCGCTCCACGGCAACGCAGCGCCAGATACTTGCGGATGCGAGCGTGCCGACTATTGTGTGGTCGGATTGCACAGGCCTCTTTCGAGCTTCTTTCTGACTCTTGCGCCACTCCATCTTCTCGCTATCTCAATGTCTCTGCAGGCCAACCTCGCCAAGCGCAAGGTCATCTTCAAGCGCGCCGAGCAGTACACCAAGGAGTACCGTGCGGCTGAGCGCGAGGAGATCCGTCTCCGCCGTGCCGCCAAGGCCAAGGGTGACTTTTACGTCGCCGGCCAGCCCAAGGTGGTCTTCGTCGTTCGTCTGCGTGGTATCAACAACATTGCCCCCAAGCCCCGCAAGATCCTGCAGCTCCTGCGTCTCCTCCAGATCAACAACGGTGTCTTCGTCCGCTTGACCAAGGCCACCTCGCAAATGCTCCAGCTTGTGCAGCCTTACGTCACCTACGGTGCGCCCAACCTCAAGACCATCCGCGACCTCGTCTACAAGCGTGGTTACGCCAAGGTCAACCGCCAGCGCCTCCCCATCAACGACAACAAGGTGATCGAGGAGAACCTCGGCAAGTACGGCATCCTCTCGATCGAGGACATCGTTCACGAGATTGCCACCTGCGGCCCCAACTTCAAGGCCGTCACCAACTTCCTCTGGGCCTTCAAGCTGTCGAACCCCAACGGCGGCTTCAAGGGCAAGAAGCTCACCCACTACACCGAGGGCGGCAACACTGGCGACCGTGGCGAGGCCATCAACGCCATCGTCCGCCGCATGAACTAAGCGCACGTATCAGCTCGGGGCTGGCTCTGTGCTTGGCGTAAGCATCTGCGAGTAATGTCGCCGATGTGATTGTCGAGTCGGAGCTTGGCTCTGGTTGTGTCGTGTGTTCGGTTCCGTTGTCGTGTACGCATTCCTACTTGCATTTTTGTTCCCTCCCTCTATTCCCTTTGCGCATCGCATCTCGCTCCGAGGTGAGACTGCCATCGAAAAGGGTTGGACGTTTTATCGGGTCGCACGTCGGGCTTGCGGGCAGAGGGACTGCTTGCAGTTGTTTTATGGGATTTGCTGGTCTGACACAGCCTTCTCTCTGCCCAGTCTGGTCGGTCGTGCGTGCTGTCCAATCCTCTCTGTTTCGTCGTGTATGTATATGGCGTTGGGGTTGCGCTCTGCATTGCCGTGCGCATGTATCTATCTTGTACAACGCTCTTCCCTTCATTGCTTCTCTCTGCATCGCGCATGGCATGCAGTGGCGGCCCCAGCCCCCGACCACTCCTAGGTTGGGAACCATCCATGTGCAGACGACGAACCCCACACCGCCATGTCATTCTTCACATCCCCCACCACACCCAAAAAATACGTCTCAATCCAGCAATCCTTGAACCGGTACTTTCCCAGCTTCGCTTGTGTGACTGAAATGCGGTGCGATAGGATCTACTTGGGCTTCGAATCGTTGTGAGGCTCTACTTGTTGAGGTCGCGAGTGACGGCGTCCAAGTCTAAGCCGAGGAATTCCTGGATGATGGTGCCGATGTTGGTGTTGTCCTGGTTGCCTGCGAGTTTGTGGACGGTGGTGGGGTCGCCGTGGGCGTAGACGTTGATGTCGATGCCCGTGTGGCCGGAGGTGGAGAAGCCGATTTCGGCCCTGCGTGCGGCGACGTCCGAGATGGCGCGACGGATGCCGTCGAGGTTGACGCCTGGTACGGGGCCTAGTGCGTGCAGCGCGTCTGCATGCGCAGTGGATCCAACCAAGCGAATCAAGTCGGCAGCGGCCGCAACCTCGTCCAGCTCCTCGTGTCGGCGCGAGAGAATCTCCTCCTTGACTACAGCAAAGACGGCTTCCACCTCGTCGTCCGTAGGCGGACCTCCTTGGGTGTCGGATTCGAGCCCAAGACCCGAGGCACCAAGGATGGAGTGTCGGATGAAGTCGCGCACGCGCTTCTCGCTCGCATGCGCGCCACCGTGTGCCTTGGCCACCTCGGTGCGCACAAAGTCGATGAGCACAGCAGTGAGGATGGGCGTCGAGTGCTTGGCATTGAGCAGCCGCTGCGGGTAGTAGGCGTAGTTGGGGTAGTCGGGCGTGAGCTGCCTGCCGAGCGTGACGCCGCCGGTCTCGTGGTCCGAGGTGGAGATGAGGATGGTGCGTTCGGTGCGCGAAGTGTGCTTCCGCACCCACTGCTTGACGAGGTGGATGGTGTCGTGGTAGGCGATGGCCTCGCGTGCGTGGCAGGCCGGATCGTTGTTGTGCGCACACAGGTCGATCTGGGAGCCCTCGATCATGAGCACGAATCCGTCCGTGTTCTGCTCGGACTCGCTGAGCAGCTCGAGCGCCTTGGACGCATAGTGCTTGAGCGGCTTGAGGGGCAGCGGTTGCGGCGCGTTGAGACGATCGATCTCGTACGGCGTGTTGCCTGCGGACAGAAGCGCCATAAAGGGCAGCGTTGGCTCGCGACCGTGCTTGGTGCTAAACACGTCTGCGCCCTCGGGGCTGAACGAGGTGTTGGTGGGGAAGCCGACGCGCACGTCCCAGCCGAGCTGGGCGGCGAGCTGCACGGTGTCCTCGTCGTCTTGCCTGCACGAGCTGGCGGTGGTGTTAGGAAGGAAGGCGCAGCCGCCGCCTCCGATGGCGAGGTCGAGCGTGCGTTCGCCGAGCGGGTTCTTGGGCCCTCCGACGAGCTGGGAGGCGATGAGCGCCTCTTCCGCACGCGAGGCGGCGTGCGAGATGAAGGCGGCGGGAGTAGCGTCTGTGAGGCGCGAGGTGACGACGACACCGGTGAGGAGACCCTTGCGCTTTGCCGCCTCGAATACGGTTCCGCACGGCTTGCCGTCGGGTGTGACGCCGATGGCGCCGTTGTACGACTTCTTTGCGCAGGAGAATGCGGTGGCACCTGCAGCCGAGTCGGTGATGAGGGAGGAGGAGGATCGGGAGCGGTGTGTGCCGACGAGTATGGTGTCAAGCGGGAGCTGGAAGGGGCTGTCGTAGTCGTTGTCGCCGTTGAGCGCCTGGGCAAAGTGGCGGGTGAAAGCGACCGAGGCGGGACCGTAGCCGTCGCTGATCATGAGGATGACGTTGGTCTTGACGTGTTTTGGCGTCCAGGGCCAGTGCCACACGCCGTTGGAGAGGTCCGAGGCGTAAGAGATGGTGGAGCTCGGGAAGAGGAGCAGGATGGCGATGAGGACGCCCTTGAGCACTTCGAGGAGCATTTGGCGCTTTGTGAAACGGCGGCGGCGTGTCGAGGAGTGAGCGTGGCCATGGTGAGCGTTGCCCGCGCTGACGGGCTGGGGAAGCTTCTCTTCAGACATGAAGCAAGTGCAGACGCACAAGTGTAGCCTCCAGACGTGGCTGCAACGCGTGGTGAGATGGTGGTGTGTCTGAGCGAGCAGTTGATAGGGGGGGACGCCGGCAGACCCTGACAGCCAGAGCCGGACGGTGCACGCGCCTCTCGTTTGGATCGCGGCTGGCAAATTGACTGGATGTGAGATCGAACTCTGGACAATCTGAAGTAGCGCCGGATTCGAAAAATGACGTCTGACTGCGCCGCACCGCCTTTGAGGTTGAATCTACGCGACTCGCAGCGCCACTGCCGAAACGCGCTTCCTTACACCGCCTTTTTCGAAGCCGAGGCTGTGCGCATTGAAATCCACTCCCGCTTTCCGAGGCGCCGTCAACCGACTGCCAAGACTCTGCCGCTTGGGTGCCTGGAAAGCAGTGTGGAGGCAGCAGCAGCAGCAGCAGCAGCAGCA